GCTGCTTGGTCCCGGGCATCGGGATTCAGCCGCTGTTGAAACTGACCAGCGGCTGACTCCAGGAAGCCCGGGGCAGAGCTGCTCTGCCCCAGGCTTCCTGGAATCAGCCACTGCTCAGTTTCAGCAGTGGCTGAATTGGGGCGCAGAGCAGCTCCAATTGTCCGGCTGCCCGGAGCACTTCTGGATTCCTGATGGTGCCGGACCATCAGGAGTGCCGGAGCATTGGATGCTGGACCAATGGAGTTTTACTGTAGCTGCACTGAAATTAAGAGACACTACTCGTAAGCACAAAAGCTAATTCCATATATGTCTTTATAGATTCAGAGTTTACAAGGCTGTAAACTAAGTAAGCACATAAACTACTAAGGGTAGGGACCAAGACTTATGTTTTTGAACAGTGCTTAGTACAATTACTCCTGGAGGTATTCTGAACCACTGCGTGTGCACATATTTTAATTTTTTTTCCTCAGAAAATAGATTCTGCTGATAAGTTGCTGCAGTTCTGCCTTTGGCCTAGCAGAGGATGCTGTGCTGCTAAAATATAAGCTCTGCTCCTGGGAAGCCCCAGCTATGATAGGGAAGAGAAAAAATTTGCCTTCTTCACAGTGCCTGTCAAGCCAGGTCAGGATACGGATATGGGGAGACCGACAGCACGGGGAAGCTGGGGGCTAATAAGGGCTAGTGAGAGAAGATAGACTGGGGCAGGAGCTGATTGGGAGTAGAGGTGCAGAACTACATGGGCAGAAGGGATGCAGTGCAACAGAAGGAAAGGGAATGGCTGAGTGGGGGCACAGACATACATGGGGACAGAGGGTGCACAGACACAGTGAGATGAGTGGATGGGACTTGCTAAAGGGATGCAGTGACACATAGGGATAGGAGAGGGGGTACAGAGCCACATATGGACAGGAGTAGATATGCCTGACTCAGTGGGAAAGGATAGGGATCAGTCAGTGTCTGCATGGGGGGGAGTGCTCTCCTCAATTATCCCACCCTGAAAAATGTGTTCTGTACTTTTCCTACCCATACCCTTCCAGTTCATAACCAGACTCCTTTCCAACAATTATTTCCCCCTCTCTCAGTTCCTCCTTTACACCTGACTTCCCCAAGTCTCTGCACAGATTCTGAGAGGTATGGGAAATACGGTTCTATATTGTAGTTTAATTAATTACTCAGAGTTCTGTATTAATGTGTCTATTAATTTATTTGTCAAAAACATTTCCTGAATCTTTTTTTTGGTCTGTATTGTCACACACATACTTGTTGACAGGTATTTTGAAATAAATTACCAAAATAATTGAAACTGATGTGATTATATTGTGTAATTTTGACAAATAAACTGATTTATAAATCTAGTGCACAGAATTTTTAGTATTTTGGTGCAGAATCCCCCAGAAATATACAATGGAGACACAAAACAGATAATTTTTTTATCTCTGTGATTGACCCAAAGTAATAAGATGGACATGTATTGCATAGAGGATAGGTAAACAGGGTGCAAATATATTAATATCTATGGAATAGATGGATTTTCAACAAGTGATTTGGAAGAGAAGAGGAAGAGGGATTGGTTCATAGTAGTCAGGATCTGTTTCAAGAGCAGAGAGCTATATGAATAGGACACAAAGAGAGAAGGAAAAGTGACATTTTGAGCAGACAGTAGGAAAGGGACCTATGAGGAAATAATGGCACAGGTGTAAGAGAACAGGGTGGTGGAGAGCTCTGAAAGCAGGAAGCTTCAGGGCCTTCATTTCCGCTGCCTAAGGTTTGATTATGTAATTGGTGAGAAAGGTTGGAAGCAGCAAGCATAAAAAGATGGCTATATTTAGCGCTGAACTTCAGTTCATTTCCTACAGCCTGGAGAGAGTGTGACCCATAAACACTAGCCTATTTTTATTTTTGATTATGCATTAAGGAAACAGTAACGATTAGTTTTTCATATTACAATATAATAAGTTTCCTGTCTGTAAAGGCTGATTCCCTACTCTGGCATGATGAATGAAGAAATAGGGATCCGCAAAAGTACCCCAAAACCTTATTTTTCCGGGCTTTGGTATAAAGCTTCCCCCCAAAATCTTAAAAACCTAGATTTTGGGGATAAAAATCAGCTGCCACCTCCCAAGTAATGGTAAGAAAAACCAGGGAAGAAATCACTTGGGAAATCTCAGTCCTAAAGTAAAACCAGGACACAAAAATTAACCAATACCAGGTTAATAAAAAAGAAAGAACTTTTAGCATCACTACAATACTCCTGTTAAAAGCCTAATGACTAGATGAAAAAGTCACCAATTAATATACTCATGGGGGGACTCCCATGGGCCAAAAACTTAGTTCAAAGGAGAGGAAAACCCATTTTTAAATACAGACATCAGATTCCCATTCCCAAACCATAAAACAATAAAATCTAATGGATTTATCTAAACTTTACCCTACTTACAGATGGTGAAGAGTCTTTTCTTGAAGAGAGACATGTCTGTCTCCCTCAGTATCTGAAGGATCAACTGCCCAGAGACAAAGGAGGGAAAACCCCAAAATTCTTTTCGTCTCAGTTTGAAATCCCTAACTGCTACCTGGCTAGGTACAGTTAACCCTTTAGTCCCCAGGCTGCTAGCCATCCCTCATGATCATGACACTGTCAATGGAGTGTTCTGGACAAGAAGTGAGAATCTACCAGGTTATATAATGAGAAACATCCACCCCGCTACAAATCTGGAATGGCCTGATACATGTTAATTTTAACAATGGGTAAATTTAACCTTCTGAAAATAAGCTTAATTCTCAATTTTTGAGAAAAAATAATGTGGACAAAATCCCATGTTTTTAGGTATTTAAAGTATCCTTACCGTAAGGGTTGTGGTATTCTCATCATCCGACCACTAAGTGAAAAAGAGGAATAGAACAATTGTAATGGTTTCTTGAAATGTCATTGCATATTTATACAATACTATAAAAGTGTACATAGCAGTACACAATAGGTAAAACATACCAAATAAATCCAGCTCCTATTCTGGAGACCTTGTACCATAAAGACAAGAGTGGATACAACCCCAACATGTAAAGTATTGTGATTGTAGTCTGAACGCTTCACATAAATAAAGATAGCAAGTAAGAGCTTGTCTACAGTCCTGATGGACTTAGCACAGATTTAATGCTCCCATCTACGTATGTATGTATAAATCCCTGCCATCTGAATCTTCTACTTCATGCATCTGATAAAGTTAGCAGCAGCCTACAAAAGTTTATGCCCTAATGAATTCGTTAGCCTTTAAGGTGCTACAGGACTCCTTGTTATTTTTGTTGAACCAAACTAACATGGCTACCTCTCTAAATCTACACAGTATGGGTACGTCTACACGGCAGGCTATTTCGGGATACTGCAGGTGTATCCAGTAAATGGGGCCCATTATTTCAAATTTTTCTTTCAAACAACAGACATGCTATTCCAGCATCCCTGTAACCCTCATGGAATGAGGGTTAAGGGATGTCTCGAAATAGCACATTATTTCAAAATTTGGCGAGGTGTAGACTTGCCAAATTTTGAAATAAGCTATTTTGAAATACAATTGAAATAAGATATGCAATTTGTATGTAGCACAAACTGCTATCTTATTTCGAGTTTAGGGTGCTGTGTAGACCCACTCTGAGTTAGCATGCAGCAAGCCAAAGTGTGAATTATAGCGTGCACAGTAACCTGCTGCATAGACCCTGCTACAGTGCAGTGAAAGTCTCACAGCATGCTGGACTTCTGAGCCACACTGAGTTGTAACAGAATCTATACAGTGTGTTAGTGTGCAGTAGGCTCCTGTCCTGTAGAGTCATTCCTGGCTTGACACTCAACTCACTCACCATGTTGCCAGGAGCTAACAATAATGGTCTAAATGAAAAAGGGAGACACAGAATGGTATCACTGGGCTATGAAAAGCCACATACATGCAGCACAAAACCTTGGGTTCAGCATCACTATCACTGTCCTTAGCTGTAGAAATAAGTACTGAAGTCATCTTTATAAATTGCAACCAGAATATGACAAGGAAGCAAGCCTATGAGATGGGAAATGTAAAGTTTGGCACAGTCATGTTCTTGCCTAAACCTTATACCAATCCCCACCACTTCTCAGTTCTAGACCAATGGTTCTCTATCTTTGCTCCAATTCCCCTCCTCTTCAAGAGTTTACATTGTTTAGATGAGCTTATATCTCAGGATGCATCCTCTGCCCAGAATGTCCTCCCTGATTCTGTATAATGCACAATTTGTTTTTGTTCCCTCAACTGCTCCCTGTAAAACCCACTTCTTCACATAGCCTCTCCACTGTTTCCTTCTGAGCCTAACAAAAGGAATGAATAACAAAACTAATAAGATGTGTGCCTTGTGAGAGAAATAATTTAGTAATATTTTATGCAAACTTTCCTCCCTTCCCTAAAGTCAGGATTAAATCTAAATTGTAAGCTCTTTACAGCAAGGATCATATTTTTATTATTCAGGAAACTGCTATGTCTCCCTATGGAATTCTACAGACATGGTAATTATTAATACATTTATTTGGCAAGATATTTCAAACAAATTATGTTACATGTTGTACCAACCTGTATTTCCTCTGCCTGATCATCATCACTTTCTTCATGAGAACGTGTTGGGGGATCATCTCTGAAATAAAAGTTGGAGGGGGGAGGGGAGCTCTTAGAAATCTTAAGCTCCAAGAGTTTGATTTTGACACCGCACTTTGGATTTCCACTATAACTGCCAGCTAATGATCTCAAAGAGCTTTTATAAGTAGATGAATTAAGGCTCATAATATACCATGATGCAGTTACAAGGAGTTAGTGGCAAATCTAAGATTAAAAGATCTCCCGAACCTAGTGGCCTAGCCACAAGATCATTCTGGTTTTTTTTGTCAACCTATTACTTTCACTTCTGAAACCATTCAAACTCATTGAATATTTTGTGAATCGTTTTATTCAGATTTTTATACCACACCCAGTAGCACATTAAATGAGGTAACTAGAAAACCATAGGACAGATGCATTCACTGCTCCTCTCTTGAGGGGAAAACTGGGTGCTTTTAACATTACTTGATATTCCACATGTTTTGGTAGGCAAGATTAAAGAGGCAGGCCTTGCATACGGAAGAGTAGTTGACGTTTTTGATGGCTCTTCGAAAGTATTGGAATTGATTCCATAACCTCAGACCACCCAGTGAGAAAGTTCTGTTCCCTTACAAACAAGCTGGACTGTTAGTGATTTGTTATGCCTGGTGAGTGCAGTGGCAGACTATAATTTTCATATTGGAGCTTTAGTTGAGTTCTTAGGTTCCTTAGCCCATGCCACAGAGCACTAAGGAAAAAGAATGAGTCAGCAGCACTCGGAGGAAAGGGAAGAAGCTGATTGGCATGGTCACTGGTGGAAGGAGGGGTTGTGGGGCAAGGGTAAGAGCTGCTCAGCAGGGGCAGCCTCTC